TCTCTCTGCGCCTGCGAGTCCAGCCCATTTTTATTACCCTTTAGGCAAGTTCAATCATAATTTCCTTAAAATTTGATTTGACAGCCTATACTTTAATTTTTTATAGTACTGTCCTCTTCTGTAAAAGGCTTCCAAAGGTCTCTCCATTGCTATTTATTCAGCCTTGTGTTCAAGCCACAGGCAGCATGTGACAGTAAGAGATTAGGTTCTGGAGCCGGGCTGCCCATAGCCACTCCTCAGAGATGTGTAGCCTCTACGCCGGTTTTCTCTGCAAAACTATGATGATAGTACCGACCGCACTGGGTTTTCGTCAGGATGAAATGGCAAGTGGACAGTGCCTGGCATATGGTGAAGGCTCAGTACATATTATCATCTGGACCTCAGAACATATGAACTGTTTCCAGCGGGAGTGTCCTACGCTCCGCGAGGGCAGGAATCTGTGTCTGTTTTGTTCATTAGCGTATCCCCAGGGCCTGGAACAGTGCCTGGCACATTAAGGCACTCGAATGTTTGTTGCATGGGTTAATCCATTACATGCTGACAGCCCAGCCGAACTGCAATGCTCCCCATTCCCGCAGCGTCCCTGCTGTGTGCTGTTTGCCTGCTCTGACGCCGCTGCTGTTGGGCAGCCGTGAGCATTCAGTGCACAGTCGAATACAACCCGCAGGAGGCTTCTCCTAGTCACCCAGGAGGGAGCCTGTCTGGAGACGCTGCTCTCGTGGCACATTGTATGGATCGCTCTTCAGGACTTAACTGTCATCTCTTCTCTCCTGTGAGCAACTTGAGGAAGTGATCATGCCATATGACTGGGCAGTGTTTGTTGAACATGATTTTTAAAAAATGGACAGATTTAATAACCTACTGAAGCACGCCATTGCTGTGGCACTCTTTCTAGGGCTTGCTCTCCACGAAAAGCTAGTCTTTCTAGGGCTAGCTCTTCGTGGAGAGCAAGCCCCACCTGCCCTTGGGGCAAAGCTTCGCAAAGTTAAGAACCAGTGAGCCAATGCGGTGGAGCCCCAGTGAACATGCTTAGCCCTGCTCACGTCTCCCAGGTATGGGCTGAGCCCTCAACTTCTAATTACTTCACAGCTACAATGTGGGATTTGGACTGAGGTTGGAGTCACGTGGTTATAAATAGTAATATAATAGTAAATGGAAGCATTTAAATATTATTGAATATTAAAATATGCATTCTTACTGAAACACATAGCATACTTACACAAAAATGGGGAGGGCTTCATTACTTGGTGTGCAATGCTAATGGGAGCGAGGCAAGCTCTGCCTGTTCCTATGCAAGTACAGAGTAGACCTCAAGGTGGAAGGAAAATTTTGAATTATGCAATAACATTACACATTTCTAATCAAGACAATACTGAGAAAAATCATGGGCATGTTAAAAAAACCTTTTTGCTTTTAAAGTATATTTAATAGTTCACCATCTACTCTTACATTTTGTTTCGGTCCTCACAACTAGTGTCAGAGACTGGGTATAGTATTTTCACTTTACCCTGGATGGGAGAAGTCTTAGCCTTCAAGTCACACAGTAAATGATGACAGTGAGACGTCAACTGCCTGGAATAATGTGCTGCAGCCAGCAGGCTACAACAATGAAACTGTTGGTAATGTTCGGGCCTTGAGAATTTTGCTTTAATGATTTTGGAAGGCCGATAGGAATTTGGTCTACAGCTATGTTTTAGTTCAAATCAGTGTTAAATTTCCTAAACAAGATTCCAAATTTGGCCAGGGCTTGCCACTCCACTCCAGACCAACAACGTGCCCTCACCCGAGCTGATGAACACACGGCTGCCTGGTGAGTCACAAGCTGTTTTTTGATCGGGCAGTTTATGGGGCTCATGCTGTTCTCCTGCAAAACCCACTGCAGGCTTCTGCAGAAATTCCTTTGGCCCAGAATGCTGAAGAACTACATTGTTGTTCATGGTTTGGATTGTAAAAGACAACTCAATCTCAAGTCCACACTCTCCTCTGGCCAGTCCCATTGAGATTATTTTACAGGGATCCAGAGACTTCCTGGAGCCAGGAGAAAACACTCCAGCAAACGGCCTTCTCCAGAAGATTCTGTACAAGTGGCTTTGCAGTGTGATTTCAAGGTACCCGTGGTCTGGCTGCTCGTGTACATTTTTTTTTCCTCTCACAGAATCTAAGGTCTTGATTCACAGTCACCCCAGAGACCAGAGTCCTACAGTTGTGATATTCTGACCCATCATTTAGAGCCTGCCCACCCACAGCCACTGAGATGCTCCTGTTGAACCCTGGCTGCAGGCGTGCTTAGCTCCTACTCAGCGCTTAAATACAAGTTGCTACAAGGTTCTCTTAAAGAGAAGTGATCTTCAGCCCAGTTTCTCAGTCCATTCATCACTGTTGCCTTAGACTTCAGCAGCTCATGGAAATAGTACTGAACTGAAATGCAACAGAGCTTTTTCCTCCTATCCTGCCATTTAACTCACGGCTTTGAGAATAGGAATTTCTCTTACAATTGTCTAGACAGAGCATTGTTTTAATCTTATGTAAATCCACTGTAACACAGTAATTTGATTTGTAATTGAACAAATGGCCTTAAAAGGAACTGAGGTGTGCTTTCTAGAACATCCCGAAATGAAAATTATACCCAAAAGGCGATGTTTAACTGGTAGACTATTTAATATAGATTCTGTGATGGTCATGGGAACCATAGTTTCATCATAAAATATATTTGGACAGGACATGAAGAAATATGGGTAAAGTTGTCATAACTCTACAAAGTTATCCTAAATATCCTAAGGGTATCCTGGTTTCAATCTTTTGTGTTGTTGTTTACCATATCTTTATTGATTTCAGAGAGGAAGGGAGAGAGAAACATCAGTGATCAGAGTGTCACTGATCAGCTGCCTCCTGCACGCCCCCGACTGGGGATCCAGCCCGCAACCTGGGCATGTGCCCCGACCGGGAGCTGAACCATCGCGTCGTCTCCTGGGTCCTGGTTGATGTTCAGGCGCTGAGCCACGGCCAGCAGTGTGTGTGGTTTCTTAGAGGTTCCTTTTACTAAGAATCTAGGCCTGTCCACTCTCACTTTATACTGCTCTGAATATCACATAAATACTTTTTGTTTTCGTTAACTTCTACCAGTGTCTGACTAGGTCACTTAGTTTAGGAATTTTGTTTTTTGTTAAATACCGCAGATTTAAAAATTCAGAATATCTTTTTAGTATCATCTTGTTTTGCTAGTATCTTGATTCTGCAACTGTTTTCATATGTGGTAGTATTAAGGCTGCCAGTTTAAGGCGATGCTTATGCTTAGAAAATTATCTTTTTCACTTATATCAGAGCTCCTTGTGTCCAGGCAACATGGCAGTTTCCTGTGTGATTTGAAAAAACAGCAGTTACTAAAATGTCACAGGATTCTCACCTGATTTTTAACTCAGTAATAAAATTTTAATCAGACTTTATCAAGTTCCTCATGATTAGAATAAAGCAACTAAATGCCCACAGTTTAAAGTGGGAAAACGTGGCACATACCCTGCTAGAGACATGTCTGAATCCAGCAGCACAGGAACTTACTCAGAATTACCAAATAGAGCCAGGTTTTCAATATAATTTAATATAAACCTAATATAACTTACGGCCGCCAGGACCAGGGACGGTCTGGTTGCCATTACAGAAGGAAATGTGACGGTCCTTGGGCTGCTCTTCTCCTGCAACCTCAGCTACGATGGACACCAGGGGGATTAAACACAACTCACTGGTCTACTGACCACTCCTGCAGGGACCACCTAGGTTTCCTTTTATTACTAGTTGTTATTCTTCCTCTCCGGACAAAACATGCGCAATTCATCTCCTGAGCTATTTTAGTTTGGGGGTCTGTCTTTCTAAGGAAAACATTATGTAAACTCCTCAGTATCAGGCCCCAAGTAAGACTACTATATACCGCTCAAATATCTAGAATGCCCACCCCTGTTCTCTCTAGAGGCTCCTCTCAAATCCAACTTAATAGACAGGGGTGGGCAAAAGTATTAACCTCTTTGTACCCACCCCTGTAGTATTCTGAGTATTCTGCTGAATGAGACTAAATCAGTTGCCTAAAGGTTGTACAATTCTGGGCCACAGGATCCAGAATGAAGGTAACTGGGCTTCAAGCCATCCAACACAAGGTCACTGCCTGCAGACAAAAGTACAGTTTGGAGCTAAGATGTACAAACACCACATTTTGCACAAGATAAGGAAAATGATAAATTTCAAGTTCAAAGATATGTGTTCTTCTGTTGTGATGAAATTATACATAAAACATGAAGTTTCCAGATTTGTCTCACCGTAACTGATCTGTCAATAATTGAAGATATTATATACAAAGAGTAATAAATAATTTTTGCCCTGGCTATTGGTTGGGTGTTGTCCTGTGCACTGAAATGGAGCTGGTTCAATCCCCAGGAGGGGCGTGCAGGAGGCAGCTGATCAATGTCTCATTCTCACACTGATGTTTCTCTCTCCCTCTCCGTTCCTCTCTAAAAATCAATAAAAATATTTTTAAAAAATACATTAAAAATATAATTTTCAAAGATAATAAAATCTACTTCTTAACATTCAGAACCTACCACTTGTGAATGTGTTTTATTTATGAAACAATAACAATTTTCACTAATGTGTTATATTTTGGATACCATGAGACAATATTTTGAAGAAATAAAATCAAAGGCTATTTTGAAAGACCGTGTCACGTTCTTCTGTTTCTTCTGTGCTGTTACGTGTAGTAAAGTCACTTAAGAATGAAGGGGACAATTCTGCTTACACACTACCATCATTAGGGATGGTCTACATGAGTACAGAACAGAAAGCTTAAAGGATTCTATCTGTACTTCAGAAGTTCCAAATGACAAACTAACCTTAAGTCTCACCTGTATACCAGTTACTACTGCAATCACCTTTTCTTTTCTTTTATCACTAGTACTTGTTGAAGTCCATTAAGAAGCAAAAAATTGTAAATATATTAATCGTTAAAAACAACAAAGAAGAGTTTAAAGAATATATTTGAACCACATAAACAAACAAAAAGGTATTACATAAGAAAAAATAATGTAACAATTTATGTAAGTACCTAACATAAGATGAGCATGCTCTTACATCTAGAACAAAAAAGGTAACATTGGTACTATATATATATATTTGACAAGTGTGCATTAAAGAATTCTCTAATATAAAACATTTAAATGTGGAGGATACTTTTTCAAGATACAGAAAACAATGTTAAGATAGGCACACCCACAATTCTTACAAAAACATGCTGGCAGAAGATAAAATTCATCTGAGCACTCACTTCTCAGATGTGCAAAAGCTACAGAGTTTTAATCACTGGATATTGGCTCCCACTTCCCACAGTTTGAGTTTCAACACTGATTGGTATGAGTTACGAATTACACAATTAATTACTGTTATTTTCAGTGTTTCTGCCAAGGTTCCATATAGAATGCATCTATTTAATATGAACACTTAACACAGCAACATTATTTGTTTATAAAAGTCACTTCCTTTGTTCTTTGTGTTTAAAAAAGGCACTATATTTAGAAAATAGTTATAGCAAACAGTGCTTTGCAAAATCTGAAACTCTAAATCAACGTGCTCCATCAACCATAAGTAGATCTTAGAAGCCCTAACTGAAAAGAACACAAATGTAAAAAGCTGATCAACTTAAAGATTATAAAAATTGGTTTATTGTAAAAGCGATTCAAGAATACCAGTTAAAAATCTTATCCCAATGCTGCCCAAGACAACCAAGAAGTAGTTAAACACTTTTACATTAGGACTAGGACATGAAACAAGAAAGACCACACTAAGGCTACGAAAGAGAAAGAACTCCTAGGTCTCCCTCAGGTCGGTGCAGAGGGCCAAGGTCGGAGCACTGCGCCTGTCAGGGACCACAGTGCTGCCATGACATTGAGGTATAACCGGGCAAATTAAAGTCGAGGGGAAATGAAGAACTCCATAGTCTTATTCTGTGGGTGTACTTAAGGGATTGAAATTTTAGGAACAACTGCCTTTAATGACAGCAAGATGCAAGATAAGTCTTTATTGAAGAAAAAGGTTATAAAGTTCTCTATCAAAGTTCCACTAAGTCTTCGCAACCCCCCTCCCCACCCTCTCCCTTATCTAGAGCTACTCTGCTGATATATAAGATACGATCTTTATTTGCTTACTGGCAAACTGTAGGCACTCCTTCCAAGTAGCTTTGATTTTCTACACATTAAAAACCCAACATGCTATATCATCCATATACTCAATTATGCATTCTAGGTAGAAATTCATTATTGCTCTAAAAATAACAACAACAAAAAAATCGATGCATCTGCACAGTGGCCATTTTCCCCTAGATGTATTTCAAGATTTAATCTTTCTACTGTTTTCTTAATAAAAAGCCTTAGAGTCAATTATTATGAGTGATTGACCTATGAATCATTATATACAACACAGTGATTGTATTTTTTTTTTTTGAGCACTGAAAATACTTAATATAAAACTTACTTTTGCACTCCTCTAAACGGAAGGGTCAAAATACTTAGATTTTGTAATTAGGAAAAAAAAAAAATCTACCTTCCCAAGCTGAGGCTTTTCATAGCAGTTTAGCCAGGAAAGGAGATTTTATACCTGTTATAAACCCTTGAAAATAAGGGCTTACTCTAGAAACACTGAAAGACCCTTAATCACAGAGGTGCTAGCTGGTGCCACTATAACTCACAACCAACTGCCACTTCATAGCTTATACTGAAGAGTTGATTCATGCTCATTTTTTCCTTTAAAAAATACTCTTTGGAAACCATTATTACTCCTGTAGACACATACTCTAGTTATATCTCTTCCTGTAAAAATAAAAGTATAATCACGATTATCTCTATTTCTGTGCTAAAGTCAACTACCAATATACATTTATTAATCTGATCACTTTACCAGCTAACGCATGACCTTACAGAATTATACTGTCCAGGGTCGATTCTCAGTATACAGAAGTAGGAGCAAGTCTTATAAGAACAGTTTAGTAGGTAATATTTCAATGTAGTCTTTAATATGTTCATTAACCAATGACAACTAAAATACTAGAATTTATTTCCAAAACTACGGTGAAGGTAAAACTTCCACAGCTAAAGGAAGGTGAGTGACCACATAAAGCTTACTTCTGTCATGTACATTATGAACCTGCTCAGTGATTTCCCATCAAGACTTAAAATTAGTCCTGGGGAGTAACAAGGGGAAAATAGAGCCATTTCCTGTTTGCTTCTTTCAAATTCATCAGATAATATTTACTGCGTGCCTTGAGGGCATACATCACTCCCCTAGGCATTATCCGTAACAACAGACCTTTCTAGAACACTAACCTCCTCAAACATCTGTAGACTGCCCCAACCAGATTTAAACTACCTGTGAAATATCAACTATTAGTCATGTATTCTAAATGCATACACTCTAAGCTACCATTTTAAAATAAATTGGAAAATAGGGAAACCTAAAAAAAAAAAAAAAAAAAATTCTGCTATCACGCTATCATATAAACATTGTAAGGTGTCAGGATATATATATAGAGCGAGCAGATAATCAAGATTTAAATAAGAAGGTAAAAAATCAGGAAATGTAGGTTTTACCAAAGAAACTACAATAACCATCCCAGCTACAACTATAAACAGATTCACTACTGTGGTCATTTGCCTTGGTTCCAGAAAAAACAACGAAACAAAAACAACAACAAAAAAAACCCCAACCAACCAAAACAAAACAAACCCACAATAAAACCCACCCAAACCTACACTAGAGTATGTGGCAATTATTAATATATTTCTATGGAAATTGTCTCGTGCCTTATAAGCTCCTAAAATAAAATCAAGGTCACTATGTGACTAATGATATAGCACTAGGAGGGGAAAGAACCCCACTGAAAGTAAAAGTCTTCAGCCTCGGTTTCAGCTCTCTCCCCAAATCAGCACTAAGTACTTAGTATGAGACACAACATTTTTGGTTTGTCACACCAGTAAGGCATGTTTTCCCACTGGCCAAAAGCAGCTGAAGAAATAGTTGCTTAAACAAACTAGATGCTGTGACATGAAGCATTTGACTTCCAAGTCTGACCGTTTCGTTAAAATGATTGGTGAACATCTAACTGGGCAAAAGGAATGGCATCCATCATCAAACAGGCTCACTTCCCCCAGCCCCCAAAACAAACAGTAGTTATAATAGCAAAAGGAACAAAAAGTTTTTTGTTTTTTGACTCTTTAGGGCCACCTATGAAAGAGGCCAGCAATATATTAACAGCAGCAATGGACACGGAAGAGCAAAAGAGTGGATGAAAGAATCTTGCTGGACGTTTGTTCATCTTTTTCTGTATTAGCCAGAAGGTTGCAACTGGCTTATTTGGAAATTTCTGGTAATGTGTGTCTTATCTCCTTAGATCCTTCACAGATTTAGAATTCAGTCTACCTGAGGGCTCTATAACCAAGTAAGGAAACTTTCTTTATCTAGCTTGGTGGCAGCCAAAACGGACTCCATGTCATTAAGGATGTCAGAGCTCAAAGCTTCCTGCAGACTCGGCATTAACTCCTCTCCTTCTATGTTCATTGCATCTCCCTCCAGTGTTCCAAGGTCCACATTTGTCCCGGGAATGGCTTCAAGGTAGTCTGGAAAACGATTCTGCTGTGAGGGCAGGGTGCTTTGGTTGATAGTATCACCTAGTTGGGACAGAGAAAAGGAATACGGTTCATTCTGACAGGAGCTGCACCATGTGAGCGCATACAGAAATGTGTAAAGAAAACACTCCTGACTGACCTGAAATGATGCCCGGTTTATTTCAGACCAAACAACCCACAAATAACAATGCCAAGATTACTTCTGCTTCAATATCTGTCCAGCTATTTAACCAACAATTTGATTGCTTATTGCTATGTGCTGAGCACTAAAGAAGGGGGGGGGGGGTCAGGTCATTAAAAAAAACCCTCTGAAAAGTTATATATTATATACAGCAAGGGAGAAGAACAAGCTCACTACACAAGAGCTTGGCCACGTAATTCTCTTCAAGCTTTGCACCACCACAATAAGATAAAGTAGGAAAATGAGTGGTATAGTCCCAGCTTTCCCCAAGTACACTTTGGGAAACACTAAAATAAAATAAAAGGGCTGGATAAAAACTCTATTCCACTCTTGGAGACTCACATTTCATAACAGCAAAACAAGTCTCCCAGAAGTCCTTGAATAAATAATCTTCCTAGCTTTGCTGGCTAGGTTTTCCATATTTACCTGGCCACAAAACCATTTTGGGGGGCACATGACAACATTAACATTCCTTAGAGCTCCAATGAACATGCTTTTCAGAAAAATGAACATAAACCATTAAGTGCTATAGGGGTTTGGAGAAACGACAAATGGGGAACAGGAGTGAGGAAATGTGTTTGAATGAGCTGGGTTTGAAGTGGCTCCTAAGGATGATTGAAGATTTAGATAAGCCGAAACAAAGGGGGGTTCTAGGGAGCACCAAAGCCATGAGCTGGATGAGCACAGGCTTTTACAAAAGGCTTGCCAAACACTTGCAGAAGCTGTCAGCTAAAGAACCTGCTGGCTGGAGGACTGTTCCATGTCCCTGCCAGTTCACGCCCTCTGAGAGTTGACAAGTCCAGGACAATCAGGTAAGCCCCAGGAGAAATGGTCCCTCAATGACCCCTGTGAGGCAGGTATTTCTTAGCTCCTGCAAGACCCATGCAACTATTCTAACAATAAAGTAGGTGAGCTCTACCGCCAAGCCTTTCCCACTTGGTTTCCTGAGCTCCATAACATCTAAGTTGGACCAAAAGCTCTCACAGAAAGGAGGCGGCAGACATTGAACCACATACAGAAATCTCTCTCCAAAATTAAGAATACAAATCTCTATTAATAGAGAATTCTAATAGGCTCAATTGCCCTGCCAACTAATTCAGTATTTTAAATGCTAAAATAAGTAATGTCATCAACTTTGTTCAAATAGAGCTAAGATTCCATGACATTTAAAAAAATTTTTTAAAAAATATATCTTTATGATTTCAGGGAGAGGAAAAGAGAGGGAGAGAGAGAGACAGAAACATCAATGATGAAAGAGTCATTGATCAAGCCCACAACCCGGGCATGTGCCCTGATTGGGAATCGAACCCCGATCGCCTAGGATCCTAGGTCCACACTCAACCACTGAGCCACACCCGGCCGGGCTCCATGACATTTTTAACTGAGAAAAAGCCCTGGCTGGGTGGCTCAGTTGGTTAGAGCATCATTCCGGATATGCCAAGGTTGTGGGTTTGATCCCCGGTCAGGGTACACACAAGCAGCAATCAATGAACACATAAATAAGTGGAATAACAAATCGATGTGTCTCTCTCTCCCTCCCTAATCAATAAAAAAATAATTTAAAACAATTTAAAGAAGTTTAACAAAGTGAAATCAATAAAATAAAAACTGAGAAAAGACGTAAATTACAAATTGCCATAAAGGAGGGCACAATTGGAATGAAGTTGACAGGACTTTAATGGCTTTCTTTTGAATAATTTGTGCTCACAGTAGCTTATGAGACCTGGTGATAGAATGACGCTCTCTGCCTGAAGGTCCGATTCCTCAGAGGAAGAAAGAATACCAACCTGTATCCATTTCGTCAACACTGTTCAAGAAGTCATCTGGAGTGCGAGGGACACTGTAGCTGCTCATGCTCAGTCCACTATCTGTGCTCTCATCGCGAGAGTGATAGGTGCCACTGCAAAGAGAGTTGAAGACCAATACAAAATTTAAAAAAATAAAATAAAAAATAACTTCAAGGTAAAAATAAACATCTGCTGAGTACTAACATGATTCCCAAAGAGAATTAGTGACCATTCCTGCCCTGCGACGTCGGAAACAAGCACCCTCCTTCAGAGCCCATACACAGTCCTTAGTCTATGCAGTGAAACAGACAAGGTAAATCCTAATCAAAGCTGGCAGCTCCGGGGCGCCAAGATCCCTCCTAAATTTCCGGGCCTGAAGGTTATAGGGAATAAAAGATATACTCAGTGTTCCCAGATGACAGAAAATTCTCTGTGTAGGCATTCTCTCTGTAATTCCATCTGAGTCCAGGGGGTCCACACAGCTCACCTGTTTCAAGATCTCAGTTCCCCAAGTGGCGGAAGGCACAGGTGTGCATAGTCACAACACAAACTGTAGGTGGGCAGTGAGACAGGTCTGCACCAGACTCACATTAAATTCCTCACTCTTATGCTGAGAGTTTAAGCCAATTGGGGCGGGGGAAGGGGGGGGAAATCAATGTAAAATAAAGAACTAGAACTCCTTTTTGGACTAGGCCAGAACAGGTAAGTCACTGCCGATAAGAACCCTCACAGCTCAATCTTCTTGCTTCTGTTTAGAGGGGGAAAACCCAGATACCTCAGCATAAGATAGGAGTCAGAATTCCAACTGAAGAAAGGGCTAATTAATAAACAAACAGAAACAAAAAACTAGAAGGCTCACGCCTTGAGAAAAGCAGAAAAATATGAGCCAAGACAGATTTTTACTTTAGGCTAAATGAAGTTTCCCAGATTTACATACAAGTATGGTAAACAACCTCAGTTCATTTCTTTCATAAAAAGAACACTTCCCTCAGCTAGTGGCACTGGAGATAGCAGCTGGCATTGACTATAAAATGTGGGATTCTACTAGTTCTAGAAAAATCTATGGCAAAGTGTAAAATAAAGGCAACTGTTGTTCAAGGGTCTGTGACCACGATGTGAACTTTATCTTACCTCACAGCCTGCACAGTTAAGCACCTGTTTAGCTTACACAAAAGTGAAAAAACAGCCCGGCTGGGTGTGGCTCAGCGGTTGAGCATCTACCTAGGATGCAGGAGATCGTGGTTCGATTCCAGGTCAGGGCACATGCCCGGGGTTGTGGGCTCCATCCCCAGTAGGGGCGAGCAGGAGGCAGCCGATCAATGACTCTCTCATTATTGATGTTTCTATCTCTCTCCCTCTCACTTCCTCTCTTTAAAATCAATAAAGACATATAAAAAAAAAAGTTAAAAAATGAAAACTGTCTAAGCTTTATAAAGGGGCTTTAACAGGTGCTCTAGGTTGAAATCTCGCCCCCCCCAATTTCTTCCCTAAATTACTTAATGCATTTGTGCTTTGTCCCCCCGCCCCCCACTCTGTATATTGCAACCACCAGTTTACTCTAATGCTTCTGCCAGATTTTGGCAAGATTCATAAGCCTCACACAGATCCAAGAAAACACAATTTTGCCTCTGAGACCATTTGTATATAATGCAGCCGCATAGGAGCAGGCCTCAGGATGTGGTTTGTTTTTATTTTGCCTGCCCTGATCTGGGACAAGGGCCTGGTGCTAGTCATCACTTTGTTCCCACTGCTAAGCATGGGCACACACCAGACACTCCAGACTCTTACGGAATAGCTGAACTGACAGTTGTGCAGAGTTCCTTCCAAGCCACAGGGAAGCACATGGGCGTTCCTGAGGATGGAGTTCACAGAGCCACTTCCCTGACAAGGAACTGCTCCCTGCAGAACCCCACCGCCTGCCGCTCACACTCATTCAATAAACATTCATGAGCATCTGCTACTACGCCAGGCATTCGACCAGGCTCAGAGGATCCAGAGGAAGTTAAAAACCACCACCTACAACTGATGCTTTCTGAGAGGCTCACAACTTCAGGGAGAGAGATGAACAAATAAATACATTAATGAATCATATACAAAGGCTATGTGACCACAGTGCTTTTAGAACAAAGAGGAGGGAGCTTAAAAAGTACAGTGGGAAGGTTTTGTGGAGGGGGACACCAGAGATGGCCTTGGAGGCTCCCAGGACAAAAGGGAGGTAAGGGGATGTTGCACCACTGCCGAGACTCAACTCCATGGCAAGTCAGGGAAACAAGTGTTTAGAGCTTAAAAAATCTGTATGAATCGAATAACAGGCAATGGGGAAACCATCATAAGTTTTTGAAAACAGAAATGCTATAGCCCTGCCCGTGTGGCTCACTGGTTGAACGTCAACCCACGAACCAAGAGATCACTGGTTTGACTTCCAGTCAGGGCACATGCCTGGGTTTCCGGCTCCATCCCCAGGAGGGGGCGTGCAGGAGGCAGTCGATTGATGTTTTTACCTTTCTATCCCTCTCCCTTCCTCTATGTCTAAAAAAAGTCAATAAAAACATATTTAAAAAAAAGAAATTTTACAGTCAGATTCGTGTTTTAGAAATGGGGGGCACTACAGAGAGTGGGCACAGCATTCTGCTGTTAGACTAGTATCGCCGATTATCTGCCACTTTGCGATCCTCACCAGAAATTACAATCTCAAACTGCAGCCCAGCTTTCATTGAAGGTTTTAAGAAAGAATCTTCACAAATGAGTATCAGAAGGATATGCTTTCTATCCATTTTTCTAAATAGCCTAATTTTATCCCTGGATCAATATAGGCCTCCAACAGATGGGTACTGGAATTATACTGATCTGAAATTTCCCTTGTGGAAAAAAAAAAATTTCTGTGGCTATGACTTTTCTTAATTAAGTTCAGAACTATAATCTTGTATAAATACACTAATTTTTTGGCAGAACTTTAAACAGTATGTGTCAACATGAGGTTAAAATACAGCTACATGAGGTGAATGTTTTGTTACATAATTAGCACATTATATTCCTGTGTGTTTCATGTAGGTCTGTTCCTATATTTAGCATAATCCTTCTACCCATGCTTTGTATCCCATCCCACCCCATCTTCCCTGATTACACTTACTTAATAACAACTCCCCAATAAAATAAAATAAGCTGTATGTGTCAAAAGAGTAAATTCTGTTTTTCTTAAGATCATGAAGTTTTCAATTCAATCGGTGATAACTGAATGGGTAACGTAGTAGCATCCCTAAAACAAAGTATCTTTAAATATTTTTAAAACTGCCTTGTTAAAAAAAACAAACAAAATCAAAAGCATGAAGATCAGGAAGTATTTATTCCTTATTTCTAAAAACTAAAACGCCAATATATTTTATAACCCAGAAGAATGAAATGTAGTCCAACCTTAATTTCAAATGGCTTTCTAGGCAAAGAATATAACCTGTTTCAGCTTGCAGTTTTCCACACAGCACTATATATAACAACACTGCAATCTTCCTGAAAACCAAGGTTGGTGGTAACTCACTAAAATGCATCCTTCTGCTAGGTTTCAAATGCTGCCTTTAATATTAATGCATGTCGTGAAAGAGGCCCAACTTTACAGCGTATCTCCTTGAACTACAGGAGGCCTCACAGTGCTGCTGCACTGGAAGCTCTCAGGCTGAACACTTATGTGGAAAATTCCTTCCCATCCTCCTTACAATGCAGCCCTAATAGGTTTAAGATGCAGTTCATTTGCTTTCACAGAAAGGCATTCACATGTTTCTTCACGACTCTGTAATTTTAAGTGACTGTTAGTCGACGGCCCAGGCGGCAGCACACGTGACTGTGAAGTAAGCATCCCCTCTGCAAGTCTGAACAGCTCACTTCCTCTCGCAGGAGTCGGCTTTTAATCCCTGTTTTATTGTACTTGCCATTTATGGAAAGATTCCTTTACAACTATGATTTCTGGCCCACACAGATGTTCAAACAGCTTCCTGCAAGGACTGAGGAGAATTATCTCAAAGCTGTGATCTTCTGCAGACACAGGCCAGCAGCGACTCTCACCAACCTGTTCAGAAAGGGATCTGAGCTGTTGGTCGTCATTGTCCTCAATTCCTGAGACATCCCAGGAGAAGAGACTGGATTCTGAGTCCCGCCGTCCTGCTCCAGTGTTGGTAACTGGCTCCGGAGAGCTAATTCCTAGAAAAAGCAAACACACACAGAATCAGTCTACCCATCAACACATTGTTTGTTAGGCGTAAAGGAATAAAAGGCGCGTAAGGGTAACCACTGGCGTAACACGCTGAAGCATTAACATCTATTTTAAAGTGAATACGTTTCCCAGTCAGAAAGACCGAGTTCTTCTATCCATTTCAGGTGATCGAAAACTAAATCTTATAAATTGAAAGTTTATCTAGTTTTATTAACCCCAAAACACATATATTTTATTACCTAATTGCATTATTTCCCTTACTTTGGCAGACACCCCCAAATCCTTCCTTTGGGGTAGGATGGCAAATCTGGGCTTTTAAAAGACAATTCTTCTTAAAGTTTATTTGTATTCATCAACCCTCACTCAATATGGTTTGGCACCAGGAATAAAATCAGAATATTCAGTAATTTTTTTTTACATTTTATTTATTTGTTTGTTTTCAGTTTATTTTTTCCATCACCATTTATCCCCTCTAGAACATTCGGCAATTTACCGTAGGACACCAGCCCCCTCTCTGTGCCCCCTGTATTGCTTTACACTTTGCTATCAAGTGTCTCATTTTGCCTTCAGGTTTTTCTGTCTTGAGCAGGGGCACCAAACAATTTTTCAGCAGGATTCCACCTGGGAACCTGAGCCGAAGCTCTGGGCCACTACTCCCCCGAGGGTTCCAGCGGCCTGCCTCAACACGCCTCCCAACATCCCAGGCCTCAGGACCTCCAGGCTCATTTACCTCACTCTGGCCAACCCCTAACCCCTTCATTACCACTCTGCCCTTTTTCTCACTTTTTCATTGGGTCACTGTTCCCTTCCTTAAGAATTTCCACTGTGCCTCCCAAGCTCTTATAAACATCATCTCTGCTGGGGCACCAGCTTTCTCTCCCTTCAACTTTTTTGGTTTGACCTGAAGCGTGGCTTGTTATCACAAAGGACACGGCTCTCCCCTGCAGCCTTCTTGAGCCAAGCCTGCTCCCTGAGGCACCCGCCCATCTCCAGTGCCTCGCTCCCACTGTAATCGCTGGGCCCAGAGGCGGTGGAGAGACTCTGAGCTCTGCACCACCACTTCTAAACTATGAATTCTACCTCATGCGAACACCACTTTTCAAAACTCAGGGTTATGCCTTTGGGATACAGCAGCCCACAAAGTGTTTTTTTTTAACCAGAGGATCATGACTGAATGAAGAGGGCCTATAAACTTGGATAGAGGAAATAAAATTACACCTTTATTTTTACTAACTTTTCTAACTGAAATTTATCATTTCCTTTAATTACGAATATAGGCAACAGACAGTGTTAGCATACCATGACTTTTCATCCATAGAAGGCATTTTCACAGTACACTGTAGTTGTGTCAAATCCCTTAAAATACCACTTACACTCATTGCCACTTCAATGCTCTAGCAGTTATGAGACATAATGCTCTTGTTATTAATGTTATCAGGCAGATGACTCACTCACTGAACCTGACAGCTCCTTGACCTTCTGGATTTCAATGATCATTTCCACCTACCTCAATCATCCACTAGCACAGCCGAGACCTTGCTATTTAAAACCAAACCTACCTCTAAAATCTTTAGTCACATTTGTTTCGCTTCTCTGCAACTGTATCCATCACCCCGGAATTGTCAGCATCCGTGCACAAAACCTATAATCTGTCATGGACATTTTTGGATCTCTAAATTATGACAATTCTGGCCACTTCACCATGATTCAATCAGCTTCACTCCCTCAGTCACGTTCTGGAACTGGCTTCAAAATTCCTCCCCCAGAAACCTTACTTGCATTCATCCCACTTTCTGGGACCATGATTTTTCTTTCCACCCAGTTCCTGCATGACGTGACGCCCACTCTACCAGATCTACAGACCTACAACCCCAGGACTCCAGCTCTTCGTCTCTCCCACTATTCCAGTTGGTTTCTTTCTTTTTTTGAATTGAGGTATAATTGACATATAACATTATATTAGTTTCAGGCATGCAACATAATGATACAATATTTGCTTAAACTGTGAAGCGGTCACAACAGTAAGTTGTTAGCAGCCATTCCCATAACATAGCCACCAATATTTTTTTTCTTGTGAAGATCTTTCAGATTTGTAATACAGTATTATTAACTAAAGTTACCATGCTTTATATTATATCCCCATGACTTATTTTATAACTGGAACTTTGTACCTTTTGACTTCTTTCACCTTTTCACACACTTAACTCACCCTCTACCCCCTACCCTCTGGCAACCACCAATCTGTTCTCTTGGCTTTTTGTTTTGTTTTTTTAGATTCTACTTATAAGTGGGATTAAAACAGTATTTGGCTTTCTCTGACTTATTTCACTCAGCATACGGCCTTCGAGGTTCATCCATGTTATCGTAAATGGCAAGATTCTATTTTTTTTATGGCTGAATAGTATTCCACTGTGCATATATACCACATCTTCCATGGACGGACACTTAGGCTGCTTCCATATCCTGGCTATTGTAAATAATGCTGCAATGAACATGGGGGTGCAGGTATTCTTTTCAAAGTAATGTTTAATTTCTTTTAAAAATATTATTTAATTAATTGAGGTGACATTGGTTAATAAAATTGTAGAGGATTCAAGTATACAATTATTGGTGTTTTTATTTTCTTCGGATAAACAGAAAACTGGAATTGTTGGATCATATGATAGCTCTACCTTTAATTTTTTGAGAAACCTCCATACTGTTTCCCATGGTGTCTGCAGCAATTTACATTCCCATCAGCTGTGCACAGGGTTCCCTTTTCTCCACATCCTTGCCAACACTTGTTACTTTTTTGTCTTTTTGATAAAGCCATTCTGACAGGTGTGAGGTGACACCTCATTGTGGTTTTGATTTGCACGTCCCTGATGATATGTGATGTTGAGCATCTTTTCATGTGCTTGTTGGCCAATTGTCGGTTCCCCCTCCCTGCCTAGGGCTGATCAGCTGAAATACATGAGCACCTTTAACATTCCTTATATACACAAAATTTTATCTCAATAGGGCAAATTCCAATCCTGAGTCAAATGTGCTCGCTTCTATACTAAGACTGCTAAGAAATGCTTGAGAAAAACCATACAACTACCCAGACTGTTTTCATAAATTAATGATCTTTGGCCTTGGCTGGGCCCTTTGTACCACTCACTGATTTTTTTGTTTGTTCTTGGTCAGTTTTTTCCTCACACTCCCATGGTCACTACTCCAAATCTGGCACACTTTCCTCAAGCCCCTATTCAGTCAAGTCCATTTCCATCTCTCTCCCACTTAAATAACACTGAGGCCACGATGCACAATTTTCTGGCTCCTCCTGCCATCCCTTCCTGCTCTCTACAAACCTACCTTCACTCATACCCATCTCTGTAACTTTCCTTCCAGTCTCAAGAAATAGCATCAGGACCCACCCCCGCTCTGTTAAAGGCCAACCCAGTCTCCCGGTAGCTTCTGCGGATCTATTTCATGTTTTTTCTCTATCCTCTATCTTTGATCCCATCCATTCTCTTGCAAAGTGACAAGGGACTTTAAAATAATGACAGCGCACTTTTTACAGGCTTGTAGTATGACCTGCTGTCTTTTGGTATCATGTCCTTCCATGTGCTCTTCCTGACTAGAGCACTTATCTTTCCTCTTTAAGACTTTCTCTAGGTAACTCTCCATGATGATCCCACCTCCATCTCCGGGTTGGACTGGACAGACAGATGTTATGTCTTTAGCACCCTGAGCATGTGTATATAACATGAGCTCAGCATCTATCACAGGTTATAGTAATTATGTCTTTATTTCTTCTTTGTCCCTTAAGGGCACATGGAGGGAGTGAATGGATTGTTCTGAACCATCAATAACCACTAATACTTTCAAGAATTCATGTTGCTATTGAAATATGAGGCTATAAATAGAAATAAATTTTAGAATGAATAAAATTCTGGATGAGGCTGATAAGCTAGGGTTCTGCAAGGAACTGTAGGTCTTTCAAAATATGGGGGTGATGTGTGAATATCTGGGAAAGAGACTCATTTGCTTTCTAGTTAGAAGGCATGTTCACGTTTGTGTACTGGGTTCAGAATTCCTTGAAGCACGAAGCAAGTACATGCCATAAATCATTCCTGAAATAACAGAATAAATTTGCTGTCATCTTCATACTGTTTTCACAACTTTTTATTTTACCTTTTAATAAAGTTCCCACTTTTTCAAGACGGTTTTATGAAGTTAAAACTGTCGCCCTAGCCAATTTTGCTCAGTGGTTAGAGTGTTGGCCTGAGGACTGGAGGGTCCCGGGTCCGATTCCGGCCAAGGGCACATACCTCGGCTGCAGGCTTGAACCCCAGCCCTGGTCCGGGTCGGGGCTTGTTCAGGAGGCAACCAAGCGATGTGTCTCTCTCACATCGATGTTTCTCTCTCTCCCTTCTACTCTCTCTGAAAAGCAATGGAAAAAAATATCCTCGGGTGAAGACTGAAAACAAAACAAACAAACCTGTCATGTGCAAATGCTACGTGTTTTTGCTACTTTGCTTGTTCAAAGCTGTCAAAGTTTTACTTCTTGCTGCCTTTATACCTGAATTTCTACTGTCAGCAGACACCGCAGAGCCAACGTATCCACATTTACAAAGGAAGGTAAATCAGAGGTGTAAATAAGAAGGGAAATCATTCTGAGTTAGCCAACGCCCTGAAGGGCTATGGGACATACTTTTCTTCAAATCCAGGCATGACTAAGTAACTAACCTAAGGTCCATCTGTACTGAGCTTGAAAGGATGAAGGAAAAAAACGCAACTTTATTTACTGGTGGTGGTGGGAGGGTGTTAGCATTAGCAGTCAAATAGGGAAGAATTTGGCACGAAAACAAATATCATGTGACAAGGCCAATGATAAAAATTAATATATACAGAGTATAAAAACCACATTTCAAGGTATAAATATTCAACTCACTTTTGACACTTCTAGTTACAGCAAAAGGAACAGTGTTGATTACATGCCCTTAGTAACTTTTTGAACAGC